TCGGAAAGTTTCGGATTTTCGTTCTTGAAAGCCGAAACGTTTCGACCTTAAGATTTTGGTTTCGCCCACAACTTTAGTTAATGGCAAAGTTAAAGTAAATGGGACGAGGATATAAATGTACCTTTTTTATTTGGTTATTATGTTAATCTTGAACATTCAAACTTTAGGTATACTATCTCTAACGTTTATTAAGAATACTCATTATAAATCTAATAATGATTAATTTCGATTTTAACTATACTTTTTACTGATGACTAAACTTTCGATTATAAGGATGTATTGAAGAATAAAATATGGGGGCGGTCAATAGAAAAGGGGGAACTCTACAAATTTTGAGTAATTTTAGTTATTAAACAAATTTTGTTCACATGAACATGAAACCAATAAAAAAATTTTGACTAAAAAGTGGATTTCCCCCTTTTCTACCCATATGCTATTTAATCCAAGAAAATATATATCTTATGGTTCACGTTATCACATGATTTGTACCACTACAATATTTTTACGTTGATCGTGATAATTCTTTTTATATCCTTAGCAATATTTTTTTTTTTAAAAAAAAAAATGGATGTAAATAGCCATGAAATCGATAAATTAAATGTCTCAGATACGAAATGTTCTTTTTGCGGTAAACCATTTGCCGAGAAATTATAGCGTAAAGAATGTGATCGATGGACTAGTGGAAATTCCGATATTGATAAATTCATAAAAGAAACAAGAAATAAAGAATGTCGTCCAAGATTTCTTGAATGGGATTCACAGATATAAAGAAATTAGTGGAGGAGGATTTGCCAAAGTGTATTCTGCAACATGGATCGATGGTCAATCGGAATTTGATAAGCATGATGACGGAAGTCGGAAAAGTTGATCCTAAACCTATGAAATATTAAATAGATCACGGGATATGTCAGATAATTATTTTAGTGAGGTATATCACATTTATATTTGATATGAATTAATAAAGAATATTCTTCTAATTTGCTCTTAAATTTTTATTACAAAAACCTAGCTTAAAACTCATTGGGATTTTCATAAAGTATATCCTTCTACGTTATACTTTTATGGAATAACTAAGGATCCAGAAACCAAAGATTTTATTATGATCGTACAATTTGCATCTGATGGAAATTTGAGAAGTTATCTTTCAAATAATTTTAACAACTTTTTATGGGAAGATAAAATTAGTAAATTATATTATGTAATATATGATGTTTGTAGTTTACATAATATAGGATATTGTCATAAGGACCTTCATAGTAAAAATATTTTGCAAGATAAAGATTCTTATATTTCAGACTTTGGGTTATCGGGACCAGCAGATAAGCAAACATCGGATAATAAAATATATGGAATATTACCATATATCGCTCCAGAAGTCTTGAATGGAGAATTATATACTTTAGCTTCTGATATTTACAGTTTTGGTGTAATTATGGCTGAATTATCATCTGGAAATCCTCCCTTTGATGATAGAAAACATGACGTATCTTTAGCCTTGGATATTTGTAATGGACTTCGTCCAGAATTTGGAAA